TGTATATGTATGTATATATATATATATGTATGTATATATATATATATATATATATATATATATATATATATATATATATATATATATATGGATACGCCACTTATAGCAACTATAAAACTTTGTTCGCTGCCCTTTGTAAAATCTGTACTTTAACAGCTATACCAAACAGGCTATTGTCATATATGATTATTATAATAATCAGCTAGTACAATAGCTTATTTATTCCGAGCAATAAAAAAAAATTTCCTTCAATGTTATTTACAAATGGGCTATTATTCATTCTTTTATTACAGTTACTTCCTTTTACCACACAAACATCAATCTTTAAAAATTTCCACAGTCGTCTCCCCTCCAGCAAGGCCGATAAGTTCGAGATTTGTTCCGGTTTAACCTCCCCTCCCCGGGGGATTGACTTCAGAAATCTGGTCAATTACAAGCAATCAGCGGGCATTTCAACTTTGACGCAACGGTCGAATCGTGGGGGAAAAAAATCAATGGTATACCGAATCGAACACGATGAATCGAATGGTTTTTACGTGGATCTATTTACTCAGGGTTTCTTTAAGACGGTCGTTTTTTTTTTAAACATGAAAGACCTCGAAACAGCGAACCAAACATACGCGCCAAACAATCATTCTGAAAATCATTCAAATAAAACAATCCGGAAAAGAGAAATGGCATTCTTTTAAAAATATACTATCATCATAATAGCATGCAATCATATAATCTAAACAATTATACGAAACACAAAAATTGACTCCGAAGGAACAATCAAACCTACTTAAAATATCATATAATCACAGTTAGAAAACAAGCAACTCTTAACACTAAACAATTATACATAGAAAGATAACCATCATACAAACCTACTAAATTATACCAATAAAACAATCATTTCAACAAAACAATCTCTAAAACAAGACAATCACACACCATCAATATAGTCAAACCAAAAAAATCACACAAATGAATCAATCACACAAACAAAAAAATCACAAAAAATGAAGCAATCACACTAACCAAAATATCGCACAAATTAAAGAATTACACTAACAAAACAACAAAACATTTACAAACGCTATAATACTAACCAATAAAATCTTGGAAATAAAACAATTACACTAACAAAACAATATAATGACCGGAAAGATGCGCAATGGAAAACTGTGTAACGGAAAACTGCGCACAAAAAATTGGCATCATCAGTATTTTTCTGTTGGCGCAGTTTTTCGATTACGCATTTTTTCTGGGAACATAATAACACAAATTTCATACAAGCATTTTGCAAATCTTTTTTCTTTACGAGCCAAGGCTATCCTAGAATATCTGGAAGTAAAATTAAAAATTACGAGGCTAAAACAGTGTCGAAAAGCTTGTACGTTATTATAATTTATATACTAGGGAAAAAAATACATTTTTAATTTTAAAAGCAGGGCTTATTTTTTTATAAATTAAAAGTGCCGCGTCTATTTATAAATGCGTGACTTTGAAAAAAACAATAAAAAAAAAAAAAACGTGTTCACTTGTGTTCTACAACTAAAAAACCCTGATAAAACGCAGTGTTTTGAAGTTCTCTCCCTTAGATCGGAAGTGGATAGAAAAAGCCTTAGCAACCATAGCGTCAGTGCTCTCCACGCTGGCTGGTAGCGATGAAACACGGAACTACGGAGACGCTGGGAGGTTCTGTTTCAAGCTTTGTGGTGTTTTAGTGCTGGGGGCGATTCGAAGACGTTTCTTCACGGGATTTTGGTTTTCCGTGAATTTTGTTCTTCGGCGGATTTAGACATCGAAACACAATGAGGATTAAGTTTTTCTGTGTACACGGTAGAAAATATCAAATTAATTTATTTTCTGTCTTAAACTGTTTAGCTATCGGGAATGGGGTGGAGTGGGGGGGGGGGGATGCTTGGCAGGCGTATAATAGACCTATAAGTTTTTTTGTTTTGTTATTTCAACCTACGATAAGTTTGTTTGTTGTTGGTTTTTTGACCTAAAATGTTTTATTTTTTTTCTTATTGCACGTATTGAAAAGAATTCTTGCTCGATCAACATCTTTATTATATGCATATCTATAGAAAGAATTATTAGTTTCGTTTCTTGTTTTTGGCACATTTATAAAAGGCAACGAGTGTAATATATTATCAAGAGTGTTTCTTCCAGGTATCTCTTCGGGGACGGGGGTGGGGGCGTGCGAGACCTTCCCCCCACCCGCCCGAAGAAAGTCTATCGCCCCCCCCCCCCCCCCAGCGAAATTTATATTGAAAACATACTTTCACCCGTGTCCGCCCCCCCCCCCCCCCCGAAAAAAGTAGTTCCCCCCCCCTCCCCGTAGAAAAAAGTCTGGAAGAAGCACTGATTATCAAGGCTAATGAGTGTTATAATCAAGGGCAGTTCGTTTTATAAAGGGCGCAGTATGTATTACTATAAAAGGTATTCGCTGTTTTAAAAGTCAAATAGTTTACTATAAAGCGCAACACGTGTTATTGCGGGCATCGAGTGTAATAAAGAGCTACGAATGTTATTATAAAGAGAAGCGAGTATTATTTTAATGAGCAACGTGCGCATCACATTAATTCATTATTCCTTATACTATAGTAGACAATACGTTTTAGGAACAAGGCAGATGAAGTAGAGCTCATCTGTTACACTTTATTATAAAGTACACGGGGTTAAACATTAACTGGCAATCGGGTTAACCTTCCGTAATCAGCCCTCAAACTATGCCAAGTACACGTTAGTGCTGGGTGAATTCAAAGGACGTCTAAGAGAATCCAAACCTGAAAAAGAACCCGACACATTTGTGTTAGCTATCGTTCGTTCTACCTCTCGACAACGTAAATGAGCTCCTTGGAACTTAGCGAAACCAGTGCCGCGTTATTGTCATATGTTCGTTTTCATCTTTCAAATCCTTTTCTTGTTCTAACGAAGTTTAATTGTGTGTTACTCAGTGGCGTCACTAGGTTGGGTGTCACCCGGTGCGGTAACCGAGGGTGTCACCCCCACCCCTCTCCCTCTTTCCAATAATTTTAAATTTTAGGTTAGGTGCCATCTCTCTCCCTCTACTATTCACTTATTTTAACTATATAAAACATTGTTTAGACAGTCAATTTTATTAATTTTTTTTGTCATGGTGTCACCCCTCCCCTTAAATAGTGTTACCCGGTGTGGACCGCACCCCCACCCCCTAGTGACGCCATTGTTATTATTGTATTTGCTGACAGCAATAAACTGTTTTCTTTCATCTTTCCAGTGCTGTCCATATTTACCTTGATGGTCGACTCCAGTGCTGGGTTGTTCTTCAGTGAGTCAGCTTCAACTTATCGGTTTCGACCAGGGTTTCTTTCGGGCATCTCGCCACCCCCTCCCCTACCACCCTTAGCACGCCCACTGCATCCGGACGAAAAAAAAATTATACAGAAAATATATAATTTAATGAATGCCCTCTTCGAGGGGTTTTAACTGCCGCATCCCACCGGAGAAAAATGTCGGAAAGAAACCCTAGTTTCCACATTTAATTAAGTCAACTCTCAAATTAAATTAAGAGTGTGACGAATGTGACGTCACCCTCTCCTCCATATCACACCTAGCCTTTAATACCGTCCATACCCTCTCCCCTTCTCTCGGGAGTGCGACGTCATTTATTGTCGACACTTGCAGAGAAACTTTAAGAACTCGAGCTAATGTTTGATTTATAACACTTAATTTAAAGTAAGCTATAGCAATATAGTAGGGTTTTTTTTCTTGTTTATCGTAAAAAGAAAAGGTTTATTTATGGTTTAAATCGTACAGTTATTATTTCATATATAACTTAAATTTATGAAACAGAATAGAATGTTTGTTTAATGATAATCAAATAAAACTGATTAATCTAAAAATTTTAACGATGAAAAAAATCATTTTTTCTGTCAAAAGATTTCTTCTACATGCAAGTATTAAAAACGAAAATAATAATTTTAAATAATTTCAGAACAATAAAGCAGATTTTAAAATCTGAGTATGTTTTAGGTTAATTCCACAGAGATAAGTGAAGATACTATAGATACCTTTCTTATACTTAAGTAGAAAAATGTTCACATCATTTTCAAGGCACCGCACTTCCACTGTTTGCATGAATTGTTTTTTTTTTCTTTTTAATTAGCCCTATATAATTTTTGTTTTAATTTTTTAGTAATTAGTCCTCTTCAACTATAATTATAAATAGTATATCTCTTATATAGCTTTTAAAATTATCTATTTAATCATTAGCTTATGAACTTAGTTGTATCAAAATTACCTATATTTTCTAACACTTCTTAGCTTTTTATGTATTGCACATTACACATCTTATATATCTATTACACAAGTAATCACCGTATAGCCTAAATATATTTTTTTCTTTCTTTTCCCATTGAACTATGTAATTTGTGTAATTATTTAATATTATTTTTAATTTATTCAATTTTTTTTTTAAACCTTTTTTTTATCTTACTGCAAGCAGACTTTAATTTGCAATTTTGTTTCGATTTCTTATTTTTTTTTAAACTTCAGCTAATATATCCTACTCCACGCTTTGGAAGCCTATATATAGCACAAGTTTTCCCGATTTCACCTGGGCTTTCCCGACAACTCAACCACTCACCCAACCCTCCACAGCAACAGACCTCACCCCCGCGACGTCCTCGGTCGTGACCCCTGCCCCGTCGAGCACCCCCAGCGAGACCCCCGGGATCGTGACGGGCAGTGGCGCAGCTGGTAGCGTAGTCGGGGACACAACAACAAAGGCGTCACAGAGTACCACGTCTGTAAACCAGAGCAGTGGGTATGCTGGTACCGCACCTGGCACCAACAGCGGTGCGGATCTATTTCCTGCTAGTTCCACACCAACGTCCACCACACCGACCAAATCTGCTGAAATAGCCGGCAGCGCTTCATCAAACACATCCACTCCATCCACTGCGGTTGATCCGACTACAACAACCCCATCCACCACAGCGGCAACTACTACGACGACAAAACCTGTAATGTCGGGGCTTCTTCCAATCACAGCTTCAACTTCTCAAAGCCCACCATCAAGCCCACCAACAAGCCCACCAACTGTTACCACAACTACCTCTCCATTGAATACATCAACTGCCAATGCTCAAACAAGCCCACCTTCTAATTACTGGTTACTTCAATCAACCTCCTTACAAAACAGCACAACAACCTCACCACCATTCAGCACCACAAGCCCACCAACAGCCACAACAGCCACACAACCCAAACCCAGCACCAACACCAACACATCAACATCTAGTATCTCTTCACCTTCAACTTCCGGAACCAATACCTCATCTCCTAGCAACGCATCATCCCCCCCAAACGGAACCGCAACCGCTCAAACCACAACCACCAACACTCCCACCAACCAAACCACAACCACCAACACTCCCACCAACCAAACCACAACCACCAACACCCCCGCCAACCAAACCACAACCACCAACACTCCCACCAACCAAACCACAACCACCAACACCCCCGCCAACCAAACCACAACCACCAACACCCCCACCAACCAAACCACAACCACCACACCATCACCCACAACGCCCAAAACCACCGCATACTCTAACGGCCTCCTCTTCCTCTACTACCTCGCCATCCCTCACACTACCGACGACACCCGCTACCACCCTAACTCCACACTGTCAGCCTACATCACCATCACCACACCAGAACGGAACGCCACCATCCTCGTCAAGTCTCCAGTATTCCCAGAGCAGCTTTTCATGTTGGCGCCAAGTCAGGAACTCACCTTCTCCGTACCCTTAGGACTTGTCCACGAGTTCTCCGGCAAATCCAGAAAAGGAATATCCGTTTCGTCATCAGTTTTCGTCCATGTATTTTTGTACACGAAAATTACTTTTGTTGAAAGTAAGTATTACACGGTTTTATGGGTTAAATGTAATAGTAATTATAATTTAATAGTAAAAAATCATAATGTATAAATGAAATGTAACAGGGGTCATCCATAAATGACGTCACGCTTTTTTTTAACGATTTTTACCCCCCCCCCCCTCCCCTCCGTCACACATCATCACAAAAAGCCAGACCCTTACCCCTAAAATGACGTCACACCTCAGCCTCAGTTGAATTTTTTTTAAACATCGATATTTTTTTTCAAAATCTTGTCTGAACTTTGTCAAAATAGAGTATTTTAATCAATTCCTATTACAATTTATTAAAACTGTTTTCTAAAACGCGAAATAACGCCTAAAATTCGTTTTCTAACCTTGCAAAAATGCAAAAGTGTGACGTCGCACCATCAGAACCCCCCCCCCCTCCCCCTCATCACACACCGTCACAAAATTAGGGACCCCCCCTCCCCCCTACGAGTGTGACGTCATTTATGGACGACCCCACAGTAACTATTATAATGTTATATTAAAAATGTAATGTTAATGTAACGTAAAAGTTAATATAACTTTAAATATAACGTTTTGTAAATATAATGTATTGGTAAATATCGTGTAATAATTAATATAAAATAGATTAAATGTAAAAGTAAATATTTTATGTAATAGTAAACATGTGATCATAATGTAAAGTAATAGTTAACATAAAGTAAAAGTAAATATAAGGTAATAGTAAATTAAACAATAATGAAATGTGTGTTAAACGTTGATTGTCGAAATTCCAACCACTTCTATTTGAAATGAATATTGGAGTATTTGAGATTGTTAAACGCGTGAATTCGATCTGTAATGATTTATCCGTGCCAAGGAATGAAGGTAATGAGGCCGGTAAATAATGTAAAAACTAACATTAAGGGGAAATAATGTTTTACTTTAAGTTGTAGCTAGTGAACCTTTACTTAAAAACCATTTAGAAAAATCAACATTCATTATTTAGCTTGTAAACATATTTTATACAGTTTAAATAAAAATTGGTTTTTGAATTATTTTCAAATTAACAAAATAGTTTTTTTTTAACTATAAAAATTGGTGAAATTTATAAAAGCTGAACAGTTACTTTTGTAACTTTACAAATCAAATAAATTAGTTTAAAACAATATGATGACGGTCAGCACTGTATTTTGTTTAGAATGTTAATTGCGAAATTATAAACCCTAAAGTTGGAGGGCAATCAGAAGCCAAAATTTATCAAACACATAACTATTTAATACAAGAGTAGAAGAAAAACATAGCAACAGGTTTTGTCAGTGTAAAAAAGTTATCACGTTTATTGTCTGACAGTGTTGGGATTACAGGTGAAAAAAACAATTACACTGGTAATTTTTTAAAAAGTGTCAGTCTGAGTGAACTATAAAAATGAACAGTAGTTCACATCAAGATTATATATAATACCTTTTTCCAAATAACACAATAGTCAATAAATAAAGGAAATTATTTACATTTTTATATATAAGCCTTTTACATACTTTTTCAATTTTTGGTCCTTTTTAGCTTTCATCTAGAACAGGGGTCTCCAAACTACGGCCCGCGGGCCGGATGCGGCCCGCGAGGTCTTCTCATCCGGCCCGCGAAGATCTTTTTGTCGAAAGAAAAGAAAAATGTTTGTTGGAGGTGGCTAAGAAAAAATTCAAAAGAAACTGAAAATGTAGCATTGAAGTAAATGTGGCCAGTTGCCCAGCAACTGACCTCCTTAAAGACAAGTTCAATGAAAAGCGGGCGGATTTATCACTATTTACCCAAGGAAGACGTTCCCAATATTAAAACTTTTGCATCAAAATACTTTCCAAATTTTAGGACAACATACAAACTTTAACAAGAATGAAGTAGGCCTACGTGAAGAACAATTTGAGAACAAACTTGGACCTCAAGCGTGTTGTCGGCCCGCGACAGTGTTTCTTTCAGACTTTTTTCTTCGGTGGGGAAGCTTGAAATGTGTATATATATATATATATATATATATATATATATATATATATATATATATATATATATATATATATATATATATATATATATATATATATATATATACAGTTCCGTTGGGGGGGGGGGGAGTTCCGCCCCCCGAAGAGATGCTCGGAAGAAACTCTGGCCCCCGAACTTATATTTGATAGTTAATACGCTCAGTGACCAAAATAAAATGTAATTTGTGTGAAAAAAAAAATAAACCCTGCAATAAAGCTTTGACTATTTTTAAAATAGAACATTTAATCAACATTTTATTACACACTAGCGTACCCGTCCCCGCGCGTTGCCGCGGGAATAGAAAAAAGTCCGACGAAATATATAAGAAGGGTTTCATCCATGCGTTACGAATCCTATATTCTTAGACGCGTGACCTTGTTTTCTAAAAGTGTGTTATTTAAATGAAAACAATGCCTGCGCTTGGATCATAAATACCGGGACACGGGTTTACCTACGCTACCGCATGAAAACCTTCAGTGTACATTAATCACTCACCGAAATAACGAGGTAGAACACACTTCGGTGACCGCCCATGTGTCAGGGGGGTAGAGGGGTGCTCTCAGTAGCCCCCCCCCCCCCACACCCGATAACACTACCTCGTACGGCCCCTGGCTCCTTAAAACTAACAGGCGCCATCGTGCCAAATAACATCATGTTAACAATGATGAAGATTGCGTCATTCGCTAAAGTGACACAAATGAACAGGGTTTTTACTTTAACACGTAAAAAATTATTTGACGCGTTTTAAACTTCAGTGTGACTGATGCAATATGTTAGCGTTGCCAATGGTCTATTATTAGATGCTCGATCTCAATTTCTGATTGGATTGTCTAAAAATAGAGGCTAATTGTATCATTCTAAAAGTGACTAAACTATTTAGATTTTTTTACCTACAGAAGGAAACAACCCAGTTAATAATCTAACCTTGGTTAATTTTTCTGATTATTAAAATAAAACGTATTACATGGCCCTCAGCGCCCCATGTGAGCCTTTTTTGTTTGCAGCCAAATCGCACCCTACCAGGGCGCCGACAGACACGCCTGATTCAATTTAGTGAGTGACAGTTACGGCCCATCTTATCCATTGTCTACCGCACTGTTTTGAACGAACGTAGGTGCCATTGCGCTCACGGGAAAGCCCAGGGCGCCAAATTGAACCCTGCAGGGGCGCCGGGGGACGCGCCTAGTTCGATATAGTCAATGATTATTGTTGTCTGTCGTGTCTTTAGTGTATATCCTTTTTTTAATGAACGTAGGCGCCATAGTGTTCAAAGGAGAGCCCGAGGCGCTTCGAGTCGTGCAATCTACGGGGCGCCGACGGTTGCGCCTCTTGACGTTTTAACGCTGAGTATAGTATTACTCCTTACCCGCTATTCAGGGCGCACGATTAGCGAATGCCACGTGCTAACGTCGCCGCTCTGGAACTCTGGGCGCCAAATTGTGTATTGACGAAAATCGCACCCTCGCAGGCGCCACCCATATCATATTTTCATTATTTCGTTCACAGAAACCTTCTCGGGAGTATTCTCATCAATTACCCAAAGTTTCATGGCACACGGATGAAAGGTGTCGAACCGCATCTGACTTGTATTTGTTATACACCGTAAATAGAGAAAAATCGAACCCTCCCTGTGGAGCCACCCCTGGAAATTTGAAAATGTTTTTTGCGCAGAAATCTCCACAGGAGAGTGTCCTCAACATCTTCCCAAAGTTTGATGGCGATCGCGTGAACGGTGTCACCGCAATTCACTTTTATTATTTTTATATACCGTATATTGAGAAAAATCGCACCCTCCCTTGGCGCCGCCCTTGCGAAATTAAAAATGTTTTTTTTACAGAACACTTCCCTAGAGTGTTCTTATCAACTCACCAAAGTTTCATGACTAGCGGATGAACTGTGTCAAACCAAAATCGACTTTCATTTTTATATACCGCACATAGAGAAAAATAATTGCGCCCTGCAGGGGCGCCACCCCTGTGAATTTGAATTTTTTTTCGCAGAAACCTCTCCAGAAATATTCACAGAAACTTCCCAAAGTTTCACGACGATGTGATGAGAGGTGTAGTAATGCATAAAAGACAGACAGACAGACGGACACACAGACAGACAGACAAACATTGCTTTTTTATAGAGATCTAGATAGATATAAATTAGCATCTTCAGGTTTAGTAATAAAATTGAAATTTACGTTTGGTATATGCATACGTATACCATCTTAAATGAATGAAAGTAGACGTAAGAAAAAAGTATTCCTACTGTAAATCTGTATCAGTCATCACAAGCCGATGATGAAAAATAATACTTGAGCGAACATGGCTAGACAAACTGACGCTGTAAATAAATTATAAAGCAATATTTGATACATTATTTTTGTATTAAAAATAATAATAATAATAATTTATTATTATTATTATATTATTATTATTATTATTATTATTATTGCGCCGTGTTTTTATAACTGCAATGAAATACGTTGTTGATGACAAAGTCACATCGTAATGACTTACTGAGTTCTATATTTAAACACACAAGACTAGCATTGGCCTTTGTGGTTCGAATGTGTTAAAAGCTATGTTAAGCTTTTCAATGTTTTAATAACATTCATATGTAAAACTTCTTTGCGGTACCTCATAACGGAACAGTCTGACGTCTGTTACAGGCGTGGATGTGGTCAGGGTCCAGTCCCTGGGGGTGACGTGTCTGTACCCTCAGGTCATGCTGAGCACCAGCTACGTGGTCGTGACGCCATCCACCGTGGTCAACAGCCCTGACGTCATCAGGACTGTCCGTTTGATGATAGTGTCCAGTGGTGACAATAACACGGTGACTGTCAGGTGAGATGTGTTGTTGTGTGGTTTGATGTGTGGGAGTCCCTGGTGTCTTTTGGTATGGCGTCTTTATTGTGTCCCTTGTCTAGTGTGTCCATTGTGTCTTTGATTTTGTAGAACTTTTGTATCATTGTTCTTGTGTCTTTATTGTGTCCCTTGTCTAGTGTGTCCATTGTGTCTCTGATTTTGTAGTACTTTTGTATCATTGTTCTTGTGTCTTTATTGTGTCCCTTGTCTTGTTTTACTTTTATACTATTTTGCCCATGGTGTTGTTTAACCATTGTGACCCTGGTCTTATGTCACCATTGTGTCCCTGACCTAGTGTCAAGATGGTATCATTGGAGTTACTTCACCATCGTGTCCATGATCTTATGACACAATTGTGTCCCTGTTATTGTGTCCCCATTGTGTCCCTGTTATTGTGTCACCATTGTGTCCCTATTATTGTGTCACCATTGTGTCCCTGTTATTGTGTCACCATTGTGTCCCTGTTATTGTGTCACCATTGTGTCCCTGTTATTGTGTCACCATTGTGTCCCTGTTATTGTGTCACCATTGTGTCCCTGTTATTGTGTCACCATTGTGCCCCTGTTATTGTGTCACCATTGTGTCCTTTTTATTGTGTCACCATTGTGTCCCTGTTATTGTGTCACCATTGTGCCCCTGTTATTGTGTCACCATTGTGTCCCTGTTATTGTGTCACCATTGTGTCCCTGTTATTGTGTCACCATTGTGCCCCTGTTATTGTGTCACCATTGTGCCCCTGTTATTGTGTCACCATTGTGTCCTTTTTATTGTGTCACCATTGTGTCCCTGTTATTGTGTCACCATTGTGCCCCTGTTATTGTGTCACCATTGTGTCCCTGTTATTGTGTCACCATTGTGTCCCTGTTATTGTGTCACCATTGTGCCCCTGTTATTGTGTCACCATTGTGCCCCTGTTATTGTGTCACCATTGTGTCCCTGTTATTGTGTCACCATTGTGTCCTTGTTATTGTGTCACCATTGTGTCCCTCGTCTTGTGTCCATTGTGTCCCTCGTCTTGTGTCCATTGTGCCCCTCGTCTTGTGTCCATTGTGTCCCTGGTCTTGTGTCACCATTGTGTCCCTCGTCACGTGTCATGTGTCACTATATAACTGTGTCAACATTGCGTCCCTGGTACTGTGCCACTATTGTGCCCATGGCCTTGTGTCAAAACTGTGTCTTAGACTTGTGTCAACATTATGCTGCTGGTTTTGTGTCACCATTATTTCCTGCTCGTGTGTCACCATTCACGTTGTACCTGGCCGTGTGTAACCATTGTGTCCCTGGTCTTGTGTCACCATCGTGTACATGGTCGTGTGTCACCATCTTGTCATATATCTGTTTGTAATTGCTCCCAGGCTGTTACATTTACTATCCTCCCTCCCGTCTTGTGTCACCATCTTGTCCTAGATTTGTTTATCCATTGCTCCCGGCTGTTACATTTACTATCCTCCCTCCCGTCCCCACAGGTTTTCCCTCTACAACACCAGCGCCCCCATCTCGTTTACCATGAACCAGGTGCGGGTCGTGGCACCGGAAGTGCTAGACATGGTGCTCAACACCACCGACGTCTACTTCATCGAAAGCGAGGGTGACCTGACGGGGTCAACGGTCACAGCCTCTCTACCGGTGGCAGTGTTTGTGGGGGCAAGGGAGGTCAGTGACCTTTGTTGAACTGTTAATTTTACATTATTTAGTCTGAATTGTTGAATTGAAAAAAAAAAGGAAACTGGGGCAGGGGCACTAACCGCACCAGGTGATACTTGATCGAGATATGCCCCTAGATCAAATCTGCTTTGTTCTTATTGGTCTTGGATGTGTTGACAGAAGATATTTTTTAGAATACAGTTTCCCTTTCAAACCTGACAGTCTATGGGGTTTCTGTGACCTCGGCATGTGAACAGATAGTTTGGTCAGCACTATGCCCACCAGAGTTTCTTCCAGGCATCTCTTCGGGGGGGCGAAGCCCCCCCGAAAAATTTTTACCGCCCCCCCCGAACGAAATGAAATTTATATAATTTATATAGAAAATATATACTTTTAACAGTGTCCGCCCCCCCGAAGAAAGTTTACCGCCCCCCCGAAGATTTCAAGTGCCTCCCCGGAGAAAAAAGTCTGGAAGAAACACTGATGCCCACCCGCCGTTACCTTCCCTAACGTGAGTTAGGTACCTATCAGAGTTGAGCTCTACTGACTTGAACCCGGATTCGAACTCGAGAACTTAATATTATTTTCATCACCCGTCTTCTAAACTAACTATACAGGTAGGTGGAGCTGTGTCGTTTGAGCAACTGTTACCTGTTTTTAACGAGACGAGGCTTTGGAAGATTTGGTCCCCTGTGACGTCACGCAACGTTGCCAGTGATTTCCGGGTAGCCACTGGTCAGGCACAAAATTTTATACACGTGAGCTTGGTTTCGTTTTTTAATTAAAGCATAAAATTATTTTAAAATACTGCTTTCATAACTCTATTTAATAAAGGGGCTTATTCTATAAGTAAGCCAAGAAAGAAAACGGCCTACGCTTATGCCTTAATAAGGGGATACAACCATCTTTTTGTACCATACAGTTTTTTTCGAAAATACTTCTGGGAGTTATTTCCCCTTCTAATGTGTTTTCATTAGAAGACGTTATTTTTTTTTAAATTGATATCTTATTTTAAATTTAATATATTTACCAAACAGTTACTTTATGCAATATTTCTTAAAATATAGACATAGCTTGGTGTTTAAATCCCCCACCATAAACAATTTAGAAAGCAGAAGAAGAAGGAGACAGCTTGTGGGTAGTCATGTGTGTGTGAAGTTGGTTTATCGTTTTGCAAATTTTTACTTATGCGTACTTTTAAAAATCCGTAGTTTTTAACATTAGAAGTTGTTTTTTATTTAAACTTAGAGATCCTCAAATTAATAATATGTCTTCCTTAATTTCAGTCTCATAGAGTAACATGCCATATTCTCTCATGTCACAGCTTTCTTATATCCAGAAAATTTACAGTGAAAAAAATTAAGCTGATTATAACATTTTTTTTGGACGTCTTTGTGTACATACAATTCAGTTTCGAAAATAAAATACTTAAAAAAAAACTTTTTAAAAAACCACGTTTTTCTTGTGGACTAAAAAGTAGAAAATAAATTTTTCTTCCGACCCTAGGGGATCTACCAATGACTGCTCGTAGATTTTGTGCTTCCTCGAGCTGTGCAGGTTTTTGTGATGACTGTTCATACATTTGATGACAAAAAAAGCTAATTTAGGTCTCTAATTGCTAGTTTTTATGATTGCATCTGAAATTGTTAGGCGAAAATAGCCTGCATGCCGAATTTCAGATCTCTAGAGCAATCAGAAGTGGGCTAATTTTCGTTGTCAATTTCGTTAATTTTGAATAAAAGGGCAGTAACTCTGTTTATTTTGTTTTAGGTATGGCGAGACAATCTGACCTATTACCTCCCCTTGGCTGGGGATGCTCTCCATTTTCGAGCGCGGAACAACACTGACGTCACCGCCGACGGGCCAGTATCCGGGATACAGTATTTACGCCGTAACGAGACGGGCGCCGTGGGGCGCGTGGATTGCATGGCGCCCGTGGTGTCTATGAACCTGTGGCGGTCAAGCTACGCCTGGGCCGTGCCTAGAAATATGACGGAACTGTCGACCAACGTCAACGAGAGTGTCGCCCTCTATGTAGTAGTCATCATGGCAGATGTAAGTAGAGGCAGAGGCGTCGCGAGGCCGAGCCTGGGGTGGACACTATTTAAGTGTGACACCAGGACGAAAAATTGCAAAATATATAGAAGAAATCAATGTACACTTATACTAATGTTTTCAATACCAGCTTAAAGATCATTTACTTAAAATTTTAGAAAACTAGAATGCAAATATTTTAACAAGCTTTTATTTAACTCACTTCCTTTGTCTGTCGTCGGTCTGTCTATATCACGGGTTCCCAACCTGGGGGTCGCGACCCCCCTGGGGGTCGCGAAGGTCTTTCTCGGGGGTCGCCAACTGGTATACTAAACCTTAGTAATTTGAAACAAAACATAAATATTTAGAAGAATTTTTGAAATTCGGCTTCATTAACATCACTGGAAATGTAATAGAGAAGAAACAAAGCGCACTGTACAAAGTTGTTCTCAGTCACGAATCTATGAAATCTTCAAAACTAAAACGTCATTTGAGACGAGTCATTCGGAATACACCAAAAAATATATGGAGTTCTTTCGTCGATAAGAAGCTAGTTGCAAACGCCAGAGACTTGATCGAACAGGAAGTTTTCACCAGCATTAGTGCAAGCATCAAATGAAGTCGCGATAGAAAATGCCAATCAAAAAAAAAAAAAAAAACAATAGGAGAAAATCTCATCAAACGCTGCATGTACGTAAATGTTAAATAACACATTTTTATTGAAATTAAGCTTTCACCATTGTTTGCTTTTCAAGATGATAAATCAACAGACGTGAATTCGTGTTCGCAGTTGCTGGTCTGTGTCTATATTCATGCGGATGATAGCATAGATAAAAGAGTTGCTCTTTTGTGAAGATAGCATGGAGAAAAGAAATATCTTTTTTGAAACTGGATGATTAAATTGGGTTAGAACGGCTGTGGGGGTTTGTACGGATGGTGCGCCATCATGTTTAGCTCAAATTTCAGAAAACAGACAAGATTTAGCTCCCTAACCGCTGCCTTAACCAATCGACATCAAGAGTCCATTGCTAGTATAAGTCGTAAATTATATAAAATCTGGAGCCTTCAAAGAACTGAGCAAAAACATTAATATAGATCACGAGGTTCTGCTCTTCTACACTACAGTACGCTGGCTGTCAAACGAAATGTTGTAAATTGTGTTTTCGAATTGAAATCTGAAATCAAATTGTTCTTGGGAGTGCAAAGGAAACAAGGCTTTTTGGTATACTTAAAACGACATAGAGTGGTTAGAGAGAGTATCAAACCTAGCAGATATGTTCGAACATCAAGATAAGCTTAACCTGAAGCTTCAGGGAAAATGAACGAATATTATAACTTTCCATGATAATCTCGGGGCATTTTTATCAAAGCTGCAAAATCGGTAAAGAAAACAAATCTTAGAAATATTGTAAATTTGAGAAACTCTGCAGTGTGGTAGATGAATCTGATTGTGAGATAATTAAAATTTTGAAAGAAGAGATTTCTGGGCATCTTGAATCTCTTGAAAACGAACTGTATCGCTATTTCTCTGAGATGAAAAAAGAAGAATCTGCATTCACGCATTACCCATTCTCTTCTTCCCTTGATGTTGCCAGCATTCCCGATGAATTACAAGATGAATTCTTTGATTTGCAGAATGATTCCGAGTAAGATGAAAAACTGCAGACACAATTTTGGTGTAGTATTCACCATTCATACCCAAACGTAAAATTGATTGACTTTTCGAGAATATATTTTCCACACTATTCTTCGATTAAAAACAAAATTAAGATAATTATAATGACATAGGTTGGCGTTAACAATTTAAAAAAAAAAATTAAAAACTTAACCACGAAAGTTTAGTGAATAGTATGCAATTTAACTCATGCTATTAAAACAGTTATCAAGAGTAGTTCATATTGAAAGTCTACTAGAAAATCTTATTTTAGTGCTTATTAATTTCCATACTAATTTCGGCTTTTTAATTCTATGGGGGTCGCGGGTCACTTAATTTTTATAAAAGGGGGTCGCCACTCGAAAAAGGTTGGGAACCACTGGTCTATATTATATTTTACTATATGTTTAATTAAAGAAACTCATTTACTTTCTACTTTTTAGTGCATTAGTACATAAAAGCTTGTCGTTATTTCAACGTTTAAACATAATATTTTGCACTATTTTGATATTGGAATAAGATTTATAAACTCATTTTTCTCTAGATTAAATTTTTTTGGACATACTGCATTTATCCTCTATGAATTCCAGTCATGTATTAATTCAACTGCATTAATCCTCTATGAATTCAAGACATGTATTGATTCAACTCCATTTATCCTCTATGAATTCAAGTCATGTATTGATTCAAGTCATGTATTGATTCAAGTCATGTATTGATTCAACTCCATTTATCCTCTATGAATTCAAGTCATGTATTGATTCAAGTCATGTATTGATTCAAGTCATGTATTGATTCAAGTCATGTATTGATTCAAGTAATGTTTTGATTCAACTCCATTTATCCTCTATGAATTCAAGTCATGTATTAATTCAACTCCACTTATCCTCTATGAATTCAAGACATGTATTGATTCAACTCCATTTATCCTCTATGAATTCAAGTCATGTATTGATTCAAGTCATGTATTGATTCAACTCCATTTATCCTCTATGAATTCAAGTCATGTATTGATTCAAGTCATGTATTGATTCAACTCCATTTATCCTCTATGAATTCAAGTCATGTATTAATTCAACTCCATTTATCCTCAATGTATTCCAGTCATGTAATGATTCAGCTCCATTTATCCTCTATGAATTCAAGTCATGTATTGATTCAAGTCATGTATGAATTCAACTCCATTTATCCTCTATGAATTCCAGTCATCTATTTATTCAACTCCACTTATCCTCTATAAATTCCAGTCATCTATTTATTCAACTCCACTTATCCTCTATAAATTCCAGTCATGTATTGATTCATCTTTTAACTCCCAGGACAGGAGATCTAGTTTACTGCTGAATGGGGGCGTCTTTCAGCCTGACAACATCTCGTACGTGGAGCCTGTCAAAGATTTTGTGGTCATGACTAAACGGTATGGGGTTAATTTAATTCATGTTTGGTGCTTTAATTATTGGCACACATGCACGAATTTGTTAGTAATTTTATTATGAACAGTGTTTCTTTCAGACTTTTTTTTCTCCGTGGGGGGGGGGGGGGTGGGTCACTTGATATTTTAGTTAGAGGGTGGGGGGCGGGGCGGACAAAATTTTCTTCCCGAAGAGATGCCTGGACGATTTTGAAGCTCTAATATAAGTATTGATAATACAATTCAATGGAATACTAAGATAATGGTTATCAGTAATATGTTGATAAATGGCTTACAGTGAGATAAATCAATAAATAACTACCTGTTTATTCAAGAAAGTTTAAACACAATAAAATTCAAATGCCACCATACATCTATGACTTCTACATTTGGTGTTTCTTTAACATTGCACTGAGTAAAAATGTTTGTTGAAATGAAATCTTTATTCAAAGCATAAATATTGGTAATAATTTTTAACGCGAATTTTTAATAAATATAAAAAACAAATTTAAAAAAACGCATAATTATTCATTTTATTTAAATGCAGTATTATTATTTTTTGTTATTTCCCTTTATTAATATTAATTGAGTTGTTTCCCTTATATTTTTAGCATCTCTAGCGGTTTCCACCAAATCCTGAGCAACGGGTCCTTTGTGTTTGGAGCGTTCATATACGGCGAGCACATACGAACCAGTTTCTGTACAGGCATCGGCGTCCAGAATTTTGTAAGTCGCCAGGGGCACCTTGGGCATAGCTATAAATAGAAACAGAAAAAATATTTTTTAAAGAAAAAAAAAAAGAAACAGAATATAAGGGGACACAAATTGATATTTCGCAGTTTGGAATTTTGAGCCGTAAATCTACCTGTTCGGACCTATCGGTCATTAGAAACGTTTTTCAGACTCAAGCACGGGATTCGAACACGAGACTTGTGAGTTTGCAGTCACGAACTCTACCGCTCGACTATGTTGTCCCGATGCATTTTGTAACTGAAATCCTGTAACATTGATAAAATATTGCAGTTTTTTTTTTTAATTGAACGCTAAGGATAAAATAAAAAACGTATAGACCTAGGGCTATTTTGAAAGTTTTGAAAATGGCGAAAGCCCCCCCCCCCTCCTCCCCTCTTACACGTGAAGAATTTCAAAAATAAAATAAATAACTGGATTAATAAAAATAAACTTTAGAGGGCAGTAATGGCAACAATTCGATTAGGGACAACCAATGTTTCTTCCAGACTTTTTTCTCCCGTGGGGGGGGGGGGGGGGGCATTTTCCGGAGGAGGGATTAGGGGGGGGGCGGACACTGAGCTGACCCCCGAAGAGATGCCTGAAAGAAACTCTGGGGACAACGTTCTAACCTTAAACGTTGTAGTCGTGTTATTCTAAAGCTAAAACTACTCTTAGTTGTGGGTTTTTTTTCTTTCAGAAATACAACCTGATTGACCTTGGGCGTTTCCCTATCTCTGGCAACGATCTGATCACAACGCCTTATGTATTCCTGACAACCACCACTACAACGGTCTACACAACTAGTGCGATGCCATCCAGCACAATCGCTAACGTGACGTCACCAGGGGCAAGTGCGTCACCAAGCCAGACATCAACCACCACGGGGTATACAACGTCATCAAACACGCCGACGGTCACGTCATCGAACACGCGAGCGTCAGCAAACTCAACATCTGCTACGTCATCAGTGACGTCGCCTCCGCCGGCGTTGCCGTGTCTGCCGACGGGCACGCTGACGAACCTCACCAAGGAGGAACTGAGCGAAGTCCTCAACGACATCAGGGAGGCGCTGTACGTGGACACCAAATCCCTGTCGTCGACCGTCCGGAAGTTGATCAGCATGGACGACGAGAGGCCGTCGTCCCAGGGCATCGGGGCATTGGGCATATCCATCATCGCCACGGTCTTGGTGCTCATGGTGGCTGGTGACGTCATGCATGCTGGGTACTGGCTGTGGGAGCTCATTTTTAGAAGACCTCAAACGATGTAAACAAAAACAAAACAAAAAGTAAGAAAAAGAAACATACCAATGTGTTGTTAAAAAATAACTAAAGATGGAAGCCTAAAGCATAAAGTGCCACTTCTACCCACGGTCAGTTTTTAACGAAGGTCTAATTCAATATGTGGGTATAGCTAATTGAAAAAAAAATAGATTTTTAAAATTTAAATCCACGATGAACGAAGTGTCTAATTAATGTCTACGTCAGTGGTGTTCATTAACAGGTGTTTCTTCCAGACTTTTTTCTGGGAGGGGGGAGTGAGGGAGACTTGAAATTTTTTAAGGGGGGGGGGGAGACTCTTCGGGGGGGGGGGTAGGGTGGCGTACTCTGTTAAAAGTATATATTTTCTATATCAATTTCATTTCGCTCGGGGGGGGGGGGGGGCGGTAGACTTGTTTCCCCCCCCCCCCTCCGAGGAGATGCCTGGAATATTTTTTGTTCATAAACTCAACACTTCATTGATCGTAAATCATGAAGGAATAAAACAGACGTGTAAAATAGCAATCTATACACCTCAGCAAAACAACGATTGTCTAATTGTCAGACAAAACATGCAAATAATATGCGAAAATGAAGTGTCAACTTGAATTTAGTTACGTGTAATATTTTTGACTTTGTATTTTCATCTCGTGTCTATTAATTAGTGTATGTTGACATTTTTTTTAATTTTTATTTTGCGAAGTTCAATTACCATAAGTCTTATACTAGAATTAATAAAATAATGTATTCATATAATCATTTGATGGGTGGGGGGGGGGGGTCTAGGGTAAACCCCTTTCACACATTTCTAGATGTTAAAAATGTAACATCCCCTTCTTCCCCCCCCCCCTTTCCAAAGAAAACAACAACTAAGAACCAACAATAAACAAACAAAAACAACAATTAAAAATCTGGCAGCTAGAGACGACTATGGTTATGTGTCATGTATGCTTATCTTATTATTCTTATGTATATCATCAGAACGTTTGTAAAATTAATATAATTGGACAAAAGCGTATACAATAAACATTCTCAGCTAATAGTGAAAAAACACAATTATATTTTTAATTTCCATGATTTTTTATTAGCACAAACAAGAAACGGCGCGAGCCTGCTTCTGTAGGCAGCACAAATCAATAGTGACGTTATCAAAGGGCTAATAATATTATAAAACCCTCTCTTAGTTTGTGCATGGATAAAATTACACAGGAATATGTTAGCAACAATTAAACAGTTTTTTCTTCTTTTGCTTCTTACTTTTTACACACATTCTATTGACGTGTCTAATTATTGAAAAAAAAAATCAAAAACTTCTTTTTTAAAATTTTTTTAAAGATTCTAATAAACTATTATTTTAAATATTGTAAAATGTGTTTGGTTAATTATAGTTGTATAAAAAAATGAATGTGTATGATGTGTGTGATTCAGCGCAGTTCCATTGTTGATAGGCAGACTTCAGTAGTTTTATTAGTCTGTGCGAGATTTTCTTAAAGGTCGCACCATCTGTTTATCAGACTCTTTTGAAGTTAAATACTTGAACTAAATTTTAACCCGTTTCAAATGAACCTATTTGTTTTACACTTTTTATTAGATATGTGTATTTCCGACGACATCGCAAGAATATCTAATTTTCATTCCAATTATATGTACAATATTTACTTATCTTTTGAGTCGACCGCCCCCCCCCCCCCCAAATGGAAACGTCAAACAGTAATTCCCCGGCATCTTTCGGGGGGGGGGGGGCGAAGAAAGTCAACCACCCCTCGGACGAAATGGAATTTATGTAGAAAATATACTTTTACCTGTGTCCTCTCCCAACCCCACCCCCAACCCCCTCTTCTCTCGAAAATATCAAGTTCCCCCCCCCCCCCCCAAAAAAAAAGTCTGAAAGAAACACTGGTAATTCCCTGATAAGCCTCCCATCTACGCAAGTCTTCGATGGATGCCATAAATAAAATATGATCTCTGAAACTATCTAGTTCAACTTATTTTTTCCGAACTTTGAGTACTCAAATTAACCTTCTAATGTAAATAGCAATCTTGTGAATGTGTTGAAGGGAGGTAGTTTTTCAGTCTCAAAAGTCACATACTGATTCCATTGAATAACTTCCTGTTTCTTAACAAATGTAAATATCACTCTTGTGAACTCAAATCAGGTTCGTCGATTTCGGTCCTGAAGTTGACAAATTGATTTGATAGAACAACTTCCTCTTTTTAAGATGCCTGCCTTATCCTCGCTATGTGTATTTGCTGATCGGTCAAGACCCCTCCTCCTCCCCCCCCCCCCTACCCTACACAAATCACTGCCAACTTGAGAACAAGACTTAGGAGAAATTAAAAAAATGAAATTAATTTATTTCAGCACGTGTCTCGTCAACGGGCGTTTACTCTAATTTACTTCCGGTTTTGAGTTTCCGATTTAAAAATAGAATAAACGCGATTTTTATATTATTTTTCATGCGCTTAAGCTATCAAGTTATTATAGTTTTGGGGGTCGTCCATAGATGACGTCACACTCGTAGGGGGAGGGGATCCGTAATTTTGTGACGGTTCGCCCAGGACGAACTATCAATTTTGCACCCCCACCCCAAAATTAGGTCTATATATTAAATATGCCTACATTTATTCGCGATGGTTAGAATTCAACCCCACCTCCCTAATTTGGAAAGGTCGGGGCGCTTTTTACCAGTCACTTTGCCTTTTTATTTTAGTGTCACACAATTGTTGTATAAAACAATTAAATAAGTCCGTAATTTAAATTTCGAACATTTCAAACGGTTACCTAATTTTAATGTTGATTTAGTGATCGCTCCAGCGCACGACGGGGCGTTCCAAAACACGTGAAATTTTGATTTTTAATAGGGCTTGTAAGTCTTGTTTTCTCCGACTTAGAACTAGAAATTTATTCTGGTGTATAGAGTTTTGTAATGACGGGGTGTACAAAGTATTGAACTTGTTTGGTAAGTTTTGATGAATCTTTTAGATTTGGGAGTAACGGCGGAAGGTTGTTGCTGATATGGTTTCGTAGGTATAAAGCATCGAAGTGTTAAAGTGTCGTATTTTGTATTTTGCTGTTGTGTAGTTGTAGATCCAGTGGAATCTGATTGTAGTAGAGAAATGAGAATGTAGGCGATGATGTATCGTTGTTCTGGAGTCCGGGAGTATCGAGCCTTGCGGTATTCAGGTATCGAAGTGTGTTGACTGTTAACGTGTAGTAGTAGGTCCAGTGAAATCGTTGTTGATTGGGAGTATCGTTTGTAGAGCTTGGTGAAGTTAAGCGAGGTGGTGGCGTAGTTCTGGAGCATCGAGTCTAGTTATGTTTAGGTATCGAAGTTTGATATGTGTTGTGAATGTAGTAAAGTATATCGAGTAGTCGAATTTATCGTAAGTTAGATTATTTCAATTCTAGAAGGAATACTCTACAAAAATTTCAAGTGATTTTTGTGCACGATTACAATACTTTCTCTATACTTCGTATATACGAGAAAGTAAAAAGGTATGCATTCTCTAGATGAAAAAATATTTAGTTTTTTTTAAATCTATATTACCACTCTTAAAGTATTAATATACAGTATTATAATTATATAGGCTGGAATTTATAACTGACCGTAAACTTTGTTTTTTTTTTTTTAAATTACATATTTTTTTATTTAATCAATAATTACTGCAATGTCGTAATCACTTACGACTTACGACATTTTTCTTTATTGTTTTTGAAAAGGTGTCCCTTTAATTAGGGCAGTGGTTCCCAACCTTTTTCGAGTGGCGACCCCCTTTTATAAAAATTAAGTGACCCGCGACCCCCATAGAATTAAAAAGCCGAAATTAGTATGGAAATTAATAAACACTAAAATAACATTTTTTTAGTAGACTTTCAATATGAACTACTCTAGATAACTTTTTTAATACCATGAGTAAAATTGCATACTATTCACTAAACATTCGTGGTTAATTTTTTTAAGCATTTTTTTTTTTGTTAACGAAAATCTATTATCGAAAAGTTAATCAATTTTACGATTGGGTATGAATGGTAAATACTACACCAAAATTGAGTGTGCAGTTTTTTTATCTTACGATTCTACAAATCAAATAATTCCTCTTGTAATTCATCGGGAATGCTGGCAACATCGAGGGAAGAAGAGAATGGGTAATGCGTCAATGCAGATTCTTTTTTTTTTAGCTCAGAGAAATAGCGCTGCAGTTCGTTTTCACTTGATTCAAGATGCCCAAAAATTTCTCTTTCAAAATTTTAATTATCTCACAATTAGATTCATCTACCACACTGCAGAGTTTCTCAAATTTACAATATTTCCAAGATTTATTTTCTTCGCCGATTCTGCAGCTTTGATAAAATTCCCCGAGATAATCATGGAAAGTGATAATATTCGTACATTTTCCCTGAAGCTTCAGGTTATGCTTATGTTGATGTTCGAATATTTCTGCTAGGTATGATACTCTCTCCAACAACTCTATGTCGTTTTAAGTATACCAAAAGGTCTTGTTTTCTTTGCACTTCCAAGAACAATTTGATTTCAGATTTCAATTCAAAAACACGATTCACAACAATTCGTTTGACAGCCAGCGCACTGTAGTGTAGAAGAGCAGAACCTCGTGATCTTTATTCAGGTCTTTGCTCAGTTCTTTGAAGGCTCCAGATTTTTATATAATTTACCACTTATACTAGCAATGGAGTCTTGAAGGCGATTGGTGAGGGCAATGGTTAGGGAGCTAAATCTTTTCTGCTTTCTGAAAGCTCGATTTTGACCTAAACATAGATGGTGCGCCATCCGTACAAACCCTCACAGCCGTTTTAACCCATTTTAATCATCCAATTTAAAAAAAAAAACGTTTTTATTGTCTCCATGCTATCTTCACAAAAGAGCAACTCTTCTTTGCTATCATCCGCATGAATATAGACAAAGACCAGCAACTGCGAACACGAACTCACGTCTGTTGATTTATCAACTTGAAAAGCAAACAATGGTGAAAGCTTAATTTCAATAAAAATGTGTTATTTAACATCTACGGACATGTAAGAATTAACTTCACCATATTCAACATGCAGCGTTTGATGAGATTTTTCCTATTGTGTTTTTTTTTTTTGCTTGGCATTTTCTGGCGCGTTTTCGTGTGATGCTTGCACTAATGCTGTGTTTCCTTGGTGAAAACTTCCTGTTAGATCAAGTCTCTGACGTTTGCAACTAGCTTCATACCGACGAAAGAACTCCATATCTTTTTTGGTGTGTTTCGAATGACTCGTCTCAAAAGACGTTTTAGTTTTGAAGATTTCATAAACTCGTGACTGAGAAAAACTTTGTACAGTACGCTTTGCTTCTTCTCTATTCCCTTTCCAGTGATGTTAATGAAGCCGAATTTCAAAAATTCTTCTAAATACTTATGTTTTGTTTCAAATTACTAAGGTTTAGTATACCAGTTGGCGACCCCCCAGAAAGCCCTTCGCGACCCCCCAGGGGGGTCGCGACCCCCAGGTTGGGAACCCGTGAATTAGGGGATCCAAAATTTTTGAAAATTTAACTTTTTGTGCACTGACTAGAAAATTGTCATCAAAATTTAATAGAAGTATGTTATTATAAAACTACCACGTTTAGACTTTCAAACAACACCTACACTTAAATAGTCAGTCAATAAAATATATTAATTGAAACTGTTACATAGCTAAAATATAAAAGATTTGTTATTATTATTACGTAATGAAATTTAGAGCGTTTTATTGTGTTTTTCAAGCATGTCTTAGTTACACTTGATTAATTTAGCTATTCTTGTTAAAGTTATTTCCCTTGAATGAAATTTTATTTGGATTTCCAAATGGGAGATAATTCGTTGCTTAACTTTACATTCATTTCAAATTCCTACACCTTATGTTGACCGCTTACTTATAAATACCAATTTAAGTTATTATTTGTAATTGTAAAAATTATGTAGAGCAGAAGTTCTTAACAAAATAGTTTGGTATTTTTTTTTAGCTCCGGTAAAAAAAAACTTTTTTAATACTCGTTAGAAAACAGTTATTTTTTTACAGCTTTATTAAGATACATCCGCATATGCATTTCCACTAAAAACATTGGTGAAAAAATCTTGGTAACTGTGACAACGGCGGCCATCTTGAAAAATTAACCCCTTCGTAGGTTTTCCACCATTCATAAAATATTACATTTTAAGCCCAATAAACAATTAATTCATAATCTTCTTCCATATTTTGAATTTTCAAAATGTGTGTCCGTTCAAAACACTAGTTTTAATGCCCCAAAATTCCCCAAAGTTTAGTGTTTTGAACGGACACAAATTTTGAAAATTCATAAAAAATTAGTTTGAAGATATGCACTTAAAATTTTTAGCTGATTACCCCAAAATATGGAAGAAGATTATGAATTAATTGTTTATTGGGATTAAAATGTAATATTTTATGAATGGTGGAAAACCTACGAAGGGGTTAATTTTTCAAGATGGCCGCCGTTGTCATAGTTACCAAGATTTTTTCACCAATTTTTTTTAGTGGAAATGCATATGCGGATGTATCTTAATAAAGCTGTATAGAAATAACTGTTTTCTAACGAGTATTAAAAAAGTTTTTTTTACCGGAGCCTTCCCCCTTAACCAGTTGAAAAACAAATAACATCAGTAGCAGTTGTAGATTGCAATACTTAATGTTAGTAGAAATACATTATGAGATAGTGCAACAAATGCGTCTAAAATCGTCTTAGTCGCAAATTAATCACCTAATTAATTATCTTTTTCATATTTTTCACCCTCTCCTAAAGGATTCATATATAAGAATTGTACGCTGGAATCTGTAACATTTATAACCTTTTATTTTTCAAAAACAAAAAAAAAAATCGTTACATATTAATATTCACTCAATACAGATATTTTACAATTATAACTAAAGACCGTCAAGCTTAAAACAGGTAAGTTCTGTTGTGGAACCCACCTTGGGAGGTCTGCAGAGAGCCCAACACTACAAGAACTGTGTTTTTTCCCCACTGTGTTTTTCCTAGACTTTTTTCTCCCGGTAGGGGGGGGGGGAAGGGGGGAACACTTGAAATTTTCTAAGGGGGGGGGGGGGGGAGGCTGTGTCGTAAAGTACATAGTAGACTCGTGGACTTAGCAACAATTTTAATGGAATGTGATTATACTTGCAAACTGGAATTGAAGGAATTAGTAGAAACTTGTGCGACGATGAGGGCAAGTAAAATTTGATTTTGTTGTCTACTTATAACGTGTATGCAATTGATAATAAATTAATATGTCACTTTTAATTAATTGTTTTCTTATACATATGTTTTAGTAATTAATTTGTGTGAAAGGGGGCGTTTTAATAAGCTTTTGTTTATGGCGCTAAATAACCTGGCGCCGGCACTCTTTCGCGTTTTAGAAAACTGTTATAATAATATCTAATAGGAATTTATTAAAATACTTTATGGTTACAGAGTTCAGACAAGTTTAAAAAAAAATATCTATCTTTTAAGAAAAATTCAACTGCAATTTTGACGGGAGGTGAGTGTAGGCTGAGGTGTGATGTCATTTTAGGGAGGGGTCTCACTTTTTGTGACAATGTGTGACAGAGAAAGGGTGGTGGTAAAAATCGTTAAAAAAGCTTTGTGGTCATTTATGGATGACCCCTTAGCTGATGTGGGGCTGAAATACTCATAATGTTTCATAGATTATTCTATAAGTTATGTCACACACATTGAATGGGGGTGAGAAGAGGACTGCAGTGTTACTTAGTGTGGGTGGGGTGAAGAATTGTGATGGGAAAATACATTTTCTACATCACAAATTACTTGAGCCTAACGTTGTTGTCTTTACTATTGCGGTTCTCTTCCACATCCTCTCACATCGTAAACAAAATAAAAAAATAAAGGAGTAAAAAAAGCATAGGCCTACTTCCTTTTTTATTTTAATATAACAACGTTACAACCTCCTTCCCCCCCCCCCCCCCCCCCCCCCATCGCCATAACAATAATTTTAACCATGAACTCTTAAAACGAAAGTCTTCTCACGTTAAGTTACAGCGCATCATAAGTTGGAGTTTATAAGAGAGGCTTGCTAGCCTTACTCTAACCCTCCCCTCTTAATCATGAATCGTGAAAGACAGTAGTATAAGAGGCGTAGAGAGGGGGGTGCGGGGTGCGGACCGCACCGGGTAACACCATTTTAGGGGGGGGGTGACACCAAGGCAAAAAATAGCAAAATATATAGAGAAAGAAAAACTTGAGGGGGGGGTGCAAATCGAAAGTTCGAAGGGGGTGCAAATCGAAAGTTTGAGGGGGGGGGGGTGCACTGAGTAGTATCACATGGTGGTAAGCGATAACGATATGGTTCTTATCAACAGCCTGGGCCTAACTGGATATGTTTCGCACTGTTAGTCAATGATGCGAGTCAGCTTTGGTCCAATGATGTTGCGCTATAAGTTATTTTATATTTATAAAGCACACAATTGGAGGGAAAATTAATTAATTAATTAATTAATAATAGGAATTAAATTGCAATAACAAGGCTACGGTGAAAATTACGATGGGAATATTACAAATCAAGAAATAAAAAGACAAAAAGAGGGGGAAAATGTACCGATAATTACAAAAGCATAAAGTGAATTACTATGGAACATCTAGAAAAGTAAATTAAGCTAATATTAATTCTGATTGCCACTGGCGGGCAGAACATGTTAGTGCGACAAAATATCACCACCTAGTCACTCCTCATAGTAGGGTCGCAGTCTCCACTTTTATACGCCTAACAATAACATTGCATGGTGGCAGTCTCCACCTATGCACCCCCTCATGGGGGGTGACCGTCTCCACCTATGCACACCCTCATAGGGTGACCGTCTCTGTGACCCCTCATCAGACATGTTTACACACGATTCTACACCTCTTGTTTTTTTTTAAATTGATGTGCGGTATTATTTAACAACAACAACAACAAAACATAGTCTTTAAAAATGAATAAATATAATCTATATATATAATTTTCTTCTGGGAGCCGTTAGAAAACAAGCTGCAAGCGCCTCCTTGCAGTCCCCTCTCTTTCTCTCTATCACTATCACTACCACCCCCACCCCACCCCCACATTGTCTGGTGAGCTGTGGTCACGCTGTTTACATTTTACAATCATAGAGACGGGTTTGGTGACGGCTATTAGGGGCAGATAATTTAGTTTGAAACGATTTTAAACTTAGAGGAGGCAACTAAGAGGAGGCTGCTTTCACGGTGGGGGGGGGGGGGGGGGGGGGGGAGGGGGTTTAGTGTTTTTAAGCAAATATTTTCAGTGGCAGCATTGGTACTGTGGAATTCACAAATTATAAATTACTGAAAAGTAGAAAATAAAACAACTAAATAGCGGCGTATGATACGCCGCGGGTCGGCTCGTTAAATATAATCTAGGCCTAGAAAATCTAGATAGATCTAGTAGATTTAAATTTAATAACATTAAAATCACATCGTTAAGTGTAGCTACATCATCATTTAGATTTATCTAGATCTAGATTCTAGATCTAGGTCTTGGAGAAAGAAAATGATAGAATAAAAAAGAATAATGTATTATTCTGCTTTACAATTTTTATACCAACTTAATACTTAATATAAAGGGATCCTTTAAATAAGGTCTGTCTCATAAAACGGCGAAAAAACGTTTCTTTGTTTATTTTATGGTTCAACTTTGACCCTAAAAAAACAATTAGGTCAAAGGATATGATCGAAAGGAAAGCAAAAAAAGACAAATCAATCTCTACACGCTTAAAATATAATACTTAAAAAATTTCACATGCTAATCACAGCAGAAGAATTATTTTCTTTAATTTTTTATCATTTTGAAGGGTTTAGAGATTTAAAAACCTGTTTTTATAAAAACAGATAATGTTTATGACATTATTTAGTAAATTCAACATTTTATCCTTACCAGCGTAGCATCAAAGATGGCGGGCAAAAGTGGGATTGCCCGTCAGCTTGAAAGAGTTAGAGCTAAAATAGTCCAAGAACTTGATATAAACAAGCTATTACCTCGTTTGCTAAGAAGAGGAATATTTAGTGTTTCGGAGGAAAAAGATATTCTCAGTCCCACGATCCCTCAGAAAAGAACAGAGAAACTTTTGGATATTTTGTCAAGTAAAGATCGAAGCGCATTTTCCGACTTCTGCAAAACTTTGGAAGAAGTCGCTCCACACCTCTTGACCTCATTGATTTTAGAAAATAAAGGTAAGAAACGGTTCGATCCTTTATTTTTAAAGCATTAAAGTTAAAGCTTATAAGAAGTAATCTTCTCGAATTCGTGTGTAATCATTACTTATTACTTAGTGACACAACGGTGTGTGAAGATGGGAGTCTTGATTGAATCCAATGAGAATGAGTTTAAAATTTAAAAATATATTTAGGCTATATTAGGGCAATTATAATTAGGGGCCTATAGACCTAGAATCTAGATCTAGATCTAAATTTAAAAAAACTAAGTTAGGCCTAACTAAGTACTAGATCTAAGTAGATCTAGATTTTTCTAGATCTAGAGTCTAGATTTCTAGATCCAGTAGTGTAAGTAGAATCTAGATCTAGAGATCTAGTAAGTAATAAATAGGCCTACTACTTTAAACACTTGAATGAATAGGCCTAGGCTATATACTAGGTATATAGTAGTACCATATAGGCTACTATAAAGATCTATAATTAAATAAGGCCTATTGAATGGGGCTTTTAATTTAACCAATGACCATGATAATTTGATATTCATCAGGACATTATTCATTTATATTGCTGATTGTTGGTTCTGGGACAGCCCTCATAATGCGTCTTTCTTTAGGCTTAGACTTGATTAATGTGATACTTCAACTTCAAACATACTAACATACACTAAAGTAATTTAACTCAAACCTAACTTAACTAACTAAACTTAATTAATTACAATTAGATTTAGATTAGTGTAGTATTGTTTCTACCGGAATAAACAGTCCCCATAAAAGTTCTTCTGGAAATTGGAGTGTTATCCGTAAAGTTAGGTATACTTAGTTGGTATTATTATTGGTTATCTAATAAGTAAAGAGTATTTTACTAATCACTGTTTGGCAAAGCAAATGGACTCTCCCATTTAAATATAAAAAAATCCTCTTCAGACCTAGTGTTCCATTGGGCTGGTGATATAGAGCGTTTCTTGACCTCTGCATATGAATGGAAGGTGTGGACAGCACTTTTCCCGGACACCTTATAGTTTCCATAATATGAGTTAGATAGGCCTACCTATCGAGACTTATGGGTTAGTAGCCTAGCTCTTTACCACTTAGGTCATGCCTTCCCATCATTCAATTATAGTTGATTTAAATTGAAGTGTGATAGTTGAATAAGGTCACTTTTGTGATTCGCTAAAGTGTTCTGTTTAGTTATAAAGAAATATATCTCTGTTTGCTTGTTGCATTCTATTAATGATCTAAATTTACTATATAAGTGTCCACTTTTCACCATTTTTTAGGAAAAAATAATCTGTAATGCCGCTGTTTCAAGTGAGCAGAAATAATAAAAATTCTTTTAGTTTCAGTAATAAAATGCTTATGTTTATGTTATCTACAACAATACATAATGTATACAATAAAGAGTTAAGTCCGTAGTATATAAATAGTTGTCACCCAATAGTAAATTTTTTGTTTTTAAGTGTTAAAAATTAGAAATAAATGTTATTGTTAGGGTTGAACCAACTTCTATAAATGGTGTATACAAATGTTTAATTTTGTCTCTAATAAACAAATATCTAAGTATGTGCATATTATTGTTATTTATCATAGGATGAAACATTCAGGACATTTTATATAATGATAGTTTAAAAAGCCTGTCTAGAAATTAGTTAACTATGGCATGGTAGTCACACCATACTCTTTATTAGGTCAGTTTATTAGTTTGGTTACTTAGTGTAAATTAATTTGTAATACTAATCTTTTAATAATACTCACACAGTAACATCAATACCAAAATCATGATATAAACTGCAATCTGCTTTTGCTGTTCTTTAATGCTAAGCCCAGTTTTTCAATAGCCAATAACTGAAGTGTCATATTTGTTACTTGGACAAAATTTCAAATATAGGTATTAGATTATTTTCATAGGTTTCTTTCAGCCTTTGAGTTTTCAATTATTACCTTTTAAAATAGTGTTAAAATTGTTTTTTTTTTTTTTTTGCGCTTTAATATTTTGTTTTGGTGTAATTTGCAATAAAACTGATCAATGTTGACCGATCTCAGTAAATATTTTTAGAAATAATTAGTTGTTAAAAAACGTAACTTGTAGGCTGAGGTGTGGGGGGAGACGATAAGGGTGGTGGTTTAATCATTTACAATGCGTGATGTAATTCAGTGGTTCTTAAATTTTTGGAGGCACCGAACCCCACAGTTTCGTTTGTTAATTCATCTAACTCTACTTAATTGTTCTATGGTCCTCACTGACACAATCTGATTGTGAATCATTGAGTCAGGTGTGTCTTGACCTCCGCCGAACCACTGGGGTTCTATCTAACCCAGGTTAAGAACCACTGATGTAACGTACTATGTCTTATCTGAGAAATATTTATTACTATGCAACTATGCACACACAAACATTAATTATATTCTAAGATTTATAAGGTTAATTTTTTATACAACTGCTACAGCCACCAACAGTTAACTTATGACGTGTGATAAAAAGATAATAAAATGTCTATTTCAATTAGTTACGTCCCTTGTATTATGATCTGTGTCCATTGTGGTTATCTGTCCTTAGTTAGATATTATAAAAATGTTAAGTATTTTTTTCATCTACTCTGGCTGCAAAACCTTTTTTTAACAGTGCAGTGCCCTTGTGCTAAATTTAGCTTTAAATATCTAGCCCGAGGTCAATGCAATTTTTTTTGCTATTAATACTGGGGGGTGGGTGCTCCCCATTTGGCCACTTTATTTGTGTAAGAAAATTGTGTAAGAATGTAATTGTCTTTGCGTTAACAGAACGTACAGAGCCTACGCCTGTTTCATTTTTTGGCTGCTTTCTTGATTATCCGTTTATCCATCAATAACTTTTGATCTCTCTTGCAATGATGCATGGTGTTGCAGAAGGCAGAACCGAACCCTAACTCCACTTTAATCTAAACCCGGTTTCAAAGTATGACATTCACGATTGGGATAAGGTTCACCATTCGAAATTCCGGCCATGCTCATATAATTCTTGTGTGACGTCGTTGATGGTCCCGTTGTAACGAAGAGATTAATGATTGCGTCATATACCAACCTGCGTCTAGCACCGTTTACTTGAGCATGGGCAAGGGGATGAAGGAGATAGGGCAATGAGGCGATTTATGACGTATCATAAAATTTTGAATCGGACACTCAAGCATGTATAAACTTTAATCTCAAAGATGGTCGTATATCATTTTTAAGTATTAAAAATTTAACTCTTGACATGAATTCGGACCACGCATTTAACGATTTTACAAACCATATCTAACATAGAATCAGTCGTTGTTAGAATAAATATCTCTGTTAACGTGTGTATGTCGCATTTTCTGACAAAAGCCCGCAGTTTGTTAAAACCCTCTAGATACTGCTTTAAACCAGCGCCATTTTAATAGTGTTTGTTTAAGGTATGACTGAGCTATATATCAGTCACTATTCCACACCGTTCTCAGTCTTTAAATGACATTTTATAGTTTAATTGACGGATTAAAAACACAGATTTAACAATTGAAACGCCTGAAAGCGGCCAGATAACGGGAAAGTACAACGTTTTCTAGAGTAAGGGGGGGGGGGACGCTGGAGAAAAAGAAACGCTAAATAAAAAGCTAAAAAAAAACATAAAATTTAACACCCCAAGCAGAATGGAAATAACATTTAAAAAAAAAACATGCTTTATGCTGCGTTACACTTTTTTCATTTTAAAATTTTATTTTTTTCTGATTTAAGATCTAGAGCTGCAAAAAATAAACACGTGCTTCTTAAAACAGTATGAACTGTGTATCTGTTTGAAAACATTTTATGAAGTTAATCTAATAACATATTTCTGTGGGCCTACACACTTTATACAAGTACAACATGGTCGAGTGGTAGCTTAGTCCACTCAGCTCTGATGTGTACCTGACTTACGCTGGGCAAAGTAAAGGCGGCTGGGCATCCCTTCATATGCCGATGTCATGAAATATATGAACTCTACTTCACTTACTTTACTTACAAAATTATTCTCTTTTTAGAATGTAAGCTGAAACCACTTCGTGTTGTTTCTTTTTGAGGGGGGGGGGGGGGGGGGGGGAATCGCTCTCTTTTTTTTCCAATTTGAATAATCACTGCTACTTTGATATTCAAATGTTATTGGGAAAAGTTACCTACACATTTTTAAAAAAATGTATATTTCATTCAACAACCAAAATAAAATAGCGAGAGAGTTGTTTTAAATATATAATTTTTAAATCCCTTATTTTAAATATTCAAGAAATATATTATCAACGGTTCCATCTGTGTAATTACTTATTTTGGAAACTCACAACATTTAAAACAACAACATGTCGGCAGATTGCCGATGTCTATAAAGAGTAAGTAAATCCAGTGAAGAGGAAGGTAGTCAACATCTCTACACTCACACATTCTGGCAGGCTTGATCTTGTTAGAGTAGCTGGACTCTCTGTATGGATCATATGTAGTTCATCAAAGAGTTTAAAATTACCTCTTTTCGCATGTGGGGGGGGGGGGATAGTTCAAGGAAGGTCCTGGCTTATTACTTAAATTACAATCTAAAAATAAAAATCTTGAACGACGTAGGTGGACATTTTAAGCCCGATGTGCTCAACTCTCTAAATTATGTGTAGAACGGTGTCCGTCTTGTTGGGGGCACGTCCATGCACTGACACTGACGATTTTATTATACGGTCACAATTTTCATTCTAACCCCTGAAAATGTTTTTTTTTTTTTTTTTTGAAAATTATTTAAAGTTAAATCGCAACCCCTCCGTTTTCCCTCCATTATTTAAAACGCCCTGAATATTAATTACAATTAAAAATATCCCCGCGCGGTTTCTCTGCCAAACAGGATCATAAACCGCTGTCAGTCCACCCCCCCACTCCCCTCCTCTAGGCCGTGCTGTTATACAACGGAATGTTAAATAAATGATTCATTTTAATTTCTCTGCCACGAACGCCGCAAGTGGCTCCGTGACTTTTGACCCCGGCATTCTACAACCCAGCGTACTGCGGATTGTACCTACC